GCCTTGGAGAAACACAAAGTCCCAGCACTATACATTACCCTCATCAAGGACATGTACAATAATGTTGTGACAAGTGTTCGAACAAGTGATGTCGACACCGATGACTTCCCGATTAAGATAGGACTGCATCAGGGGTCAGCTTTGAGCCCTTATCTTTTTGCATTGGTGATGGATGAGGTCACAAGGGGTATACAAGGAGATATCCCATGGTGTATGCTCTTTGCGGATGATGTGGTGCTAGTTGACGATAGTCGGACGGGGGTAAATAGGAAGTTAGAGTTATGGAGACAAACCTTGGAATCGAAAGGGTTTAGGCTTAGTAGAACTAAAACCGAGTACATGATGTGCGGTTTCAGTACTACTAGTTGTGAGGAGGAGGAGGTTAGCCTTGATGGCCAGGTGGTACCTCGGAAGGACACCTTTCGGTATTTGGGGTCAATGTTGCAGGAGGATGGGGGTTTTGATGAAGATGTGAACCATCGAATCAAAGCCGGATGGATGAAGTGGCGCCAAGCTTCTGGCATTCTCTGTGACAAGAGAGTGCGACAAAAGCTAAAAGGCAAGTTCTACAGGACGGCGGTTCGACCGGCAATGTTGTATGGCGCGGAGTGTTGGCCGAATAAAAGGCGACATGTTCAACAGTTAGGTGTGGTGGAGATGCGTATGTTGAGATGGATGTGTGGCCACACGAGGAAGGATCGAGTCCGGAATGATGATATACGAGATAGAGTTGGGGTAGCACCAATTGAGGAGAAGCTTGTCCAACATCGTATGAGATGGTTTGGGCATATTCAGCGCAGGCCTCCAGAAGCTCCAGTGCATAGCGGACGGCTAAAGCATGCAGAGAATGTCAAGAGAGGGCGGGGTCGACCGATTTTGACATGGGAGGAGTCCGTTAAGAGAGACCTGAAGGATTGGAGTATCGACAAAGAGCTAGCTATGGACAGGGGTGCGTGGAAGCTTGCTATCCATGTGCCAGAGCCATGAGTTGGTTGCGAGATCTTATGGGTTTCACCTCTAGCCTACCCCAACTTGTTTGAAACTAAAGGCTTTGTTGTTGTTGTTGTTTGTTGTTGTTGTTGCCAAATGGAAGATGAACACATTAATCCATTACCGGGCGATGAGATGAGCTCACCAATTATTGAAACTGACATTACTTCCGCTGTCCTTCAGAAGTATGTGATCTTTCGTCAACCTTCATGTTACTTCATTAATCCTTCATTTTCTAATTCAGTGTTGTATGTATCTAGTCATTCCAGCCAATGTCCAGCTAAAGAAATTTCGGTCGATTGCCAAATGGAAGATGAACAACTCTGCCTATGTTGTCTCAACATAGCCGGTCCCAAGCCCGGGTAAAGGAGGAGGGTTGTGATAGGCTTGGCGAGCCAACGTAAAAACTCAGCCACTCTTATGGAGATGAAACCCAAAAGATTTTCGTTGGGGCGTAACCCTCTCAGCGACGCGCCACATCGGAACCCGGGTGTGGTGGAAAATGGGCAAGGGCCGGGCCGTCACCCCCCAAGTGGCGCGCCGTATCTTGATCCAGATACGGTGGCAAGTGAGCGAGGATCGGGTCGTCGCATCCTTAGTGGCGCGCTACATCGGCGCCCGGATGTAGTGGAAAATGAGCAAGGGTCTTCGCATTTGACTCGACGAGTGCGAAGGGTAAGGAAGCTAGCCGAGCCTAGGAGGATTCGCTTAGGTAGCTGGAACGCAGGGTCTCTGACAGGGAAGCTTCGGGAGCTAGTTGATGCAGCAGTGAGGAGAGGTGTTGATATCCTTTGCGTCCAAGAAACCAAATGGAGAGGACAGAAGGCGAAGGAGGTGGAGGATACCGGCTTCAAGCTGTGGTACACGGGGACGGCTGCAAACAGAAATGGCATAGGCATCTTGATCAACAAGAGCCTCAAGTATGGAGTGGTAGACGTCAGGAGACGTGGGGACCGGATTATCCTGGTCAAGCTGGTAGCTGAGGACTTGGTTCTCAATGTTATCAGCGCATATGCCCCGCAAGTAGGCCACAATGAGAACACCAAGAGGGAGTTCTGGGAAGGCTTGGAAGACATGGTTAGGAGTGTACCGATTGGTGAGAAGCTCTTCATAGGAGGAGACCTCAATGGCCACGTGGGTACATCTAACACAGGTTTTGAAGGGACGCATGGGGGCTTTGGCTATGGCATCAGGAATCAAGAAGGAGAAGATGTCTTAAGCTTTGCTCTAGCCTACAACATGATTGTAGCTAACACCCTCTTTAGAAAGAGAGAATCACATCTGGTGACTTTTAGTAGTGGCCAACACTCTAGCTAGATTGATTTCATCCTCTCGAGAAGAGAAGATAGGCGTGCGTGCCTAGACTGTAAAGTGATACCTGGGGAGAGTGTTGTACCCCAGCATAAGCTGGTGGTTGCTGACTTCCGCTTTCGGATTCGTGTCCAGCGGGATAAGCGTGCCAAGGTCGCTAGAACGAAGTGGTGGAAGCTCAAGGGGGAGGTAGCTCAGGTGTTCAAGGAGAGGGTATTTAAGGAGGGCCCTTGGGAGGAAGGAGGGGATGCGGACAATGTGTGGATGAAGATGGCGACTTGCATTCGTAAGGTGGCCTCGGAGGAGTTTGGAGTGTCCAGGGGAAGGAGAAGCGAAGATAAGGATACCTGGTGGTGGAACGATGATGTCCAGAAGGCGCTTAAAGAGAAGAAAGATTGCTTTAGACGCCTATACCTGGATAGGAGTGCAGACAACATAGAGAAGTACAAGATGGCGAAGAAGGCTGCAAAGCGAGCTGTTGGTGAAGCAAGGGGTCGGGCATATGCGGACCTCTACCAACGGTTAGGCACGAAGGAAGGTGAAAGGGACATCTATAAGATGGCTAAGATCCGGAAGAGGAAGACGAGGGATATTGGCCAAGTCAAATGCATCAAGGACGGAGCAGGCCAACTCTTGGTGAAGGACGAAGAGATTAAGCATAGATGGCGGGAGTGCTTCAACAAGCTGTTCAATGGGGAGAATGAGAGTTCTACCATTGAACTGAATGACTCCTTTGATGAGACCAGCATGCGTTTTGTGCGGCGCATCCAGGAGTCTGAGGTGAAGGAGGCTTTAAAAAGGATGAAAGGAGGCAAGGCGATGGGCCCTGATTGTATCCCCATTGAGGTGTGGAAAGGTCTCGGGGACATAGCGATAGTATGGCTAACCAAGCTTTTCAACCTCATTTTTCGGGCAAACAAGATGCCAGAAGAATGGAGACGGAGTATATTAGTACCAATCTTCAAGAACAAGGGGGATGTTCAGAGTTGTACTAATTACCGTGGAATTAAGCTGATGAGCCATACAATGAAGCTATGGGAGAGAGTCATTGAGCACCGCTTAAGAAGAATGACAAGCGTGACCAAAAATCAGTTTGGTTTCATGCCTGGGAGGTCGACCATGGAAGCCATTTTCTTGGTACGACAACTTATGGAGAGATATAGGGAGCATAAGGACTTGCATATGGTGTTCATTGACTTGGAGAAGGCCTATGATAAGATACCGCGGAATGTCATGTGGTGGGCCTTGGAGAAACACAAAGTCCCAGCACTGTACATTACCCTCATCAAGGACATGTACAATAATGTTGTGACAAGTGTTCGAACAAGTGATGTCGACACCGATGACTTCCCGATTAAGATAGGACTGCATCAGGGGTCAGCTTTGAGCCCTTATCTTTTTGCATTGGTGATGGATGAGGTCACAAGGGGTATACAAGGAGATATCCCATGGTGTATGCTCTTTGCGGATGATGTGGTGCTAGTTGACGATAGTCGGACGGGGGTAAATAGGAAGTTAGAGTTATGGAGACAAACCTTGGAATCAAAAGGGTTTAGGTTTAGTAGAACTAAAACCAAGTACATGATGTGCGGTTTCAGTACTACTAGTTGTGAGGAGGAGGTTAGCCTTGATGGCCAGGTGGTACCTCGGAAGGACACCTTTCGGTATTTGGGGTCAATGTTGCAGGAGGATGGGGGTTTTGATGAAGATGTGAACCATCGAATCAAAGCCGGATGGATGAAGTGGCGCCAAGCTTCTGGCATTCTCTGTGACAAGAGAGTGCGACAAAAGCTAAAAGGCAAGTTCTACAGGACGGCGGTTCGACCCGCAATGTTGTATGGCGCGGAGTGTTGGCCGACTAAAAGGCGACATGTTCAACAGTTAGGTGTGGCGGAGATGCGTATGTTGAGATGGATGTGTGGCCACACGAGGAAGGATCGAGTCCGGAATGATGATATACGAGATAGAGTTGGGGTAGCACCAATTGAGGAGAAGCCTGTCCAACATCGTTTGAGATGGTTTGGGCATATTCAGCGCAGGCCTCCAGAAGCTCCAGTGCATAGCGGACGGCTAAAGCGTGCAGAGAATGTCAAGAGAGGGCGGGGTCGACCGATTTTGACATGGGAGGAGTCCGTTAAGAGAGACCTGAAGGATTGGAGTATCGACAAAGAGCTAGCTATGGACAGGGGTGCGTGGAAGCTTGCTATCCATGTGCCAGAGCCATGAGTTGGTTGCGAGATCTTATGGGTTTCACCTCTAGCCTACCCCAACTTGTTTGGGACTAAAGGCTTTGTTGTTGTTGTTGTTTGTTGTTGTTGTTGCCAAATGGAAGATGAACACATTAATCCATTACCGGGCGATGAGATGAGCTCACCAATAATTGAAACTGACATTACTTCCGCTGTCCTTCAGAAGTATGTGATCTTTCTTCAACCTTCATGTTACTTCATTAATCCTTCATTTTCTAATTCAGTGTTGTATGTATCTAGTCATTCCAGCCAATGTCCAGCTAAAGAAATTTTGGTCGATTGCCAAATGGAAGATGAACACATTAATCCATTACCGGGCGATGAGATGAGCTCACCAATAATTGAAACTGACATCACTTCCGCTGTCCTTCAGAAGTATGTGATCTTTCTTCAACCTTCATGTTACTTCATTAATCCTTCATTTTCTAATTCAGTGTTGTATGTATCTAGTCATTCCTGCCAATGTCCAGCTAAAGAAATTTCGGTCGATTGCCAAATGGAAGATGAACACATTAATCCATTACCGGGCGATGAGATGAGCTCACCAATAATTGAAACTGACATTACTTCCGCTGTCCTTCAGAAGTATGTGATCTTTCTTCAACCATCATGTTACTTGATTAATCCTTCATTTTATAATTCAGTGTTGTATCTAGTCATTCCAGCCAATGTCCAGCTAAAGAAATTTCCGGCGATTGCCAAATGGAAAATGAACACATTAATCCACTCGCCACATCAAATTCTTCTTTGCCTGGACATGTGCCTGGGTATGCATTCTTTCTTCACCCGTCTTGGAGATGGTTCCATTCATCTGATTAATCATCAATCTTTCATTTTGTAATTGATTTGTTGTATTTTGTTGTTCCAGCCAATATTTAGTTAAAGGAGGAACATCTGTCCTTCATAGAAGGGAAGATCTGCAAGTAGATCAGCTGAACACCTTGAGTTCTTCCTTGCCTCAGGGGTATGCGTGGCCGAAGTTACTGATCAGATGTTCAATCACTATTGATTAATATTCTTCTATAATTTGCACTGTGTTTCATCATTACAGCCTATGTTCGGACAGAGGAAGAATTTCTGCTAATCACCGGAGAGAAGAAAAGCTAGTAAATCAGTCTAGCACCCCTGTGGATCAATGGGTTTTGCTCGGTATATCTTTAAGTGCATCAGAAAAGGTAGCATTAGACTATACTTGCAAACAATACTGTCCTTTTAGAGCATTTGGATATATCTGAACAATACTCTCATTTAGAGCTTTTGGATGTATCTGAACGATACTCTCCTTTAAGAGCATTTGGATATATCTAAACAATATTAGCAAATATGTGTGTGGACAAGTAATGCAGCAATTTTAATTTATGGTCAAATTTAATTTATATAATCTGCTGGTTTTCGAAATAAGTTCTGTTCCATACCAAGCTATGATAAAATTGTTTATGTTTGTCATCCAGGATTCCTTGAAGGAATTTGCATCCTTAACCTGTTCAACCTTGGCTGAGGAATGGGACAAAAATGTGACCCATGTAATTGTGGGCAGAAACGCCGGTGATGCATGTGGCAGATCATATGAGGTCCTGATGGCGATACTCTCTGGGAAATGGGTTGTCACAGCCGGATGTTAGTATTAATCCATCTTACATCTCCCTTGTTTTGTATTGTTGATGATTATTGTACTATCTCCAAACTCATGCTACATACTAATGTAATAAGCTGCTGGTCTATTTGCACTTCCATTTATCCGTGGCGATCTAAAACTTATCCTAGCTCGGCACAGAATATCATTTCTCCTTGCCCTGAAGCAGTTCACGTCATATTCATGTCTTAGGGATTGTGGATTGCTTGGTGGAACCGATTCCAGATCTAAAAACTTGCTTGGAAAAGCCGATCCCAGGCCCGGAAATTTCGTACGAGATGAATTTCTGTGATGGTTCATGCACATCAGGTTATGGACCAATGAAAGGAAGAGCTAGAGCTGCTGAGCGGGTATGTAAACATGTCTGGCAATAATATATTATCTACGAATTCAATATAGAGAAAAGCATATGTAGTGAAAACTGATCGCAGTTTGCCTTATGCATCAGTTCAGGGAATTCGTTTACAATTTTTTTGTCAAAAGGTTTGGGAATTGGTTTACAATATTTTTCAAAAGGTTCCCTATTGCAACCAAGTATAAATATGTACTAAAGTGTTCATACAGAGGCTGTTTGATGTCAAAGGCTTTAAGTGCATCTTTAGAGAAATTTAGGTGTTCCATGGTCAGTATATTCCAAGAGCTTTTCTTTTATAAGGTGGGGTGCTAAACAGATTTCCGTATGTTTTTTTGACAAAAACAGCAGCGCTGCTTTCTAGTATTAATTAAGGTAGAAGAAATTATACATAGAGTACAGAGGGAGCATTTGAGAAATCGAGGAAACTGGAAACATCTTTTGCAGTGTTGTTTTACAAATTCTCTTTTGAAGTGTCATTTCCCTGAATGCGATGTTTTGGAATGCATTTCAATAGTCATGGATCTTATGAATGCATTTCATATGTAATAAAAGCAACATTTTGATGCCTTTCTACAGCCAAATGATGAGAACATGATGTTTGCAGGCACCAAAACTGTTCTCGGGACTGCATTTCTGCCTCAGCGCCTACATAGACCCTGAAGACAGAGAAACCATCCAAAGACTCGTAGCAGCTGGTGAAGGGCAAGTACTGGAGGGAATCAGCCCAGACCGGTTGCACGAGAATCTGAACAGGAATCCAGCGGAGGTGTACTTCATCTATGACAGCGGCCCTCCAAGGAAGATCACTTCGGATTTCGATCTTATCCTTGGCAAGGAGATTCAGGAGAGCGTCGAGTACGCGAAATCGGGAGCACAGGTGATCAGCCACAGGAGGCTGCTCGACGCTATCCTGTGCTACGATGCGTGGATCCTGGAACGGAGGCCTCACCAAGATATGTGAGTGAAGGGTGCGCTTCAGGCAGTGGCTTTTCGCTCGCCTTACCAGAGGTTTTTGGGTTCAGCCCCCCACATGAGTAGCGATGGGGGCTGTCGAAAGTTGACGAATCACACACTCTACTCACCCGTTAGGCTATAGGGTGGTGTGTTTGTTGTTGTTCTGGTGCTGGATTGCTCGTTTAGCAGATTTTTAGTACTCGACCCAGACGGTAGTTTCGCGGTGTGGAAGGCACTTGTTGTGAAATGGTTGTACTTTTTTGGCGGTGACTGAGACCCCCGTTGGGCAGCATCATATGTTTGGAATTGGATTGTCAACTCTGAAGAAGTCATCAACTGTTGCATCGCGGCGTGGGTTGCGGCGTCTTCTACGCCCTTTGTTCCTTGCATCTTTCTTTCATATTTCGTTAGTCAAATTGACGATTTAGAACTATTGAAGTAGCCTTTTGCGGTCACACTTGATAGTATTGAATATTAGCTACTTCCTCTGTCTCATAATATAAGAGTGTTTTTGTAAAAAAACGCTTTTATATTATGGAACGGAGGGAGTAGAAAATAGACTCTAAACATCGCACTTGTTAAGGACCGGCCAACAGAGTAACACTACAACGGGGCTGTAGCCCTGCAGTTGAGTTGGCTCTACAAAAGTCAGAGGCCAAAGCTCAAACAGGTTGTTCAGAAGAGTTTACATTGCATTTTCCATTCAACCGACTCACCATGCGTGTGCTGGACGCAAACATTCTCCCTTTTGATAAGGCATATATACACATACACGCATGTGAGCGACAAAGATATCCTGCTGCCTTGTGACCTGTCAGCAGGCATAAGCGACGACACACGAACGTTCCACGACTTTGCTCATAGCTCAATCCCAGTGGAGGCTAATAGTCCCAAACTGACATGCACATATAATGCCGACTAGCAAACCGCACTATTTCTACTCAGAAGAAAACATTAATTTGTAAAGAAGAGAGAAGATGAATTAACTCGATGATCCAAGAAAACATGCACTTATATTGGGGCCGACTATAGTTAAGTTGACTCGAAAAGATATCTTGGTTAGTTGATTTTTTAGCCGTCGAATTTAAATCGGATGGCTGAGGTGCCTTATTCGTCTGGGGTCCTCTCTTTCCTTTGATGTATCTTCCAGCGCGACGGCCAACGGTACTCCCGCGCACACCTCTGCATGAAAAATGTCAGGATTTGGTTAATCCTATTAATCTCTACTTTTCCTAACAAAGGCGGTTGCCCCGTGTCCCTTCGAAAACACCCCTTCGGGAGCTATATATATCTGTAATCCCATCATCAATGAAAACAACTGATTATTTTTACATCTTTGTGTCTATTCTTTTGTTCTCTATTCAAAACACGTTATCAGCACGCTCTTCCCTGAGCGACCCGGCGAATTGGAAAGAATCGGAAACGACACCGAGATGGTACTCGCCGCCTCGGCCCTCTCCTTGCCTTCGCCGTCGCCTCGTAGCCCTAGACGGCCTCCCGTCCCTGCCGGTGATAGCCGCTACAGCGGCGCCGGTGGAGATGGGTGGGGCGGTGCTGCACAGGGAGGGCGGGGGAGCGGTTGGAGAGGAAACCGTCTCCTTCATCGCCTTATCCATTCCAGGTGGTGGAGGGATGGACCTGTATGGGCCTGCCGGACGATTTTTCTGAGTTAAACCTATATTTTCTTGGTTATTAATTCGTATTTCGTTCTATTAACAGTTGTCTAACTCTGTTTTAGACACCGCTAATTGCAGTACTTAAATTCCAGTACTGTAAATATGTTGAGTACTATGTATTCCATATAATATGTTGATGTAATAATATATCTCCATGTTTCTTACATGTTGAGAATAATTACATCTATGTTTTGCAATTGAGATTTTTCTTTTATCTCTTGCAAAGGTAAATTCAGTACCTCTACAATATCGATTTGCGATTGAGAATTTTCTTATCTCTCAAAACAATCTCATTGCGATTGAGATTAATTTTCTCGCGCAAAATATTAATTCAGCCTGTTGAATTATCTTGCAACTTGATACAAGATCATCTCATTTAATTTGAGGTCTACAATTCAAGTTTTTCACTTGAGCATCAAGTTTGCAACATCGTTATTATTCACTACATTAGTAGTGTTTTCTGTTGAGTACCATATGTATTCTAGAATCTATGATGTAATATATTTCCATGTTCTACATGTTGAAATTATACATCCACTATTTGCAATTGAGATTTATTTTAATTTCTTGTAAATACAAATCAATTCATCTTGAGATTTTGGGAGCAAGAATTGATATGCAAAATTCTTAGTGATTTCTTCAAACTGATGTGTTGGGATCACAAGGTAGTCATATAGATCTACTGCATTCGCAGATTATCAATGACTACCGTTTAAGCCTACATTTTGTCATTTTGACATTATAATTGCTTTACAAAGTGCTCTCCCACACATTTTACTAAGTCATGACATAAGGCATTATGAGTGAGTATCTACTGATTTCATCAGATTATACCACTCTAATGCTGCTAGATATACTTCAAAATTTCTTTTGGAGATTATCTACAAAGTGTCATGCTTAACAATTTGAAGTCCACACTAATAATGGTTACAAGCTAACCTTTTGAAATATCCAGTAATTTTGCAAAATTCATTACGATACTAACCATGGTGGTCTTTAATTTACTCATCATAAATTAATTATTTCTGGTAACCGATGGCTAGAAAATTTGAGGCGTTCGCCCTCAATGGCCACCACTGCCCTATCTGGGCCATGGACATTAGGATCACTCTTGTGTCTCATGGGATAATGTGTGCAATCCAAGACCTGTCGGATTCAGCTACGGTTGGAGTCACGCCACTAACAGTATAAATATGTTGCCTTATGCATCATAAGGCATTATATCAATCTAGATCTCAGCATCTGATTATTCTATATTAGCAATCCCTGTGATACAAAGGACCTCAAGGGCAAAGGTTTGAAACTCACTTCAACCTTCAACCCGACATCACCAAAGGTGACGGGACCCTTTGGGAATAGAGAACCTGATGGTTGAATATGTCTCAACCGACATGTTTGGAGACTATGAACAATCTCTCAATCTCCTCAGTGGTCAATACAATTTATGTCCATTTCTGATGTTCTAATAAGAACATGAGTATTGTTGTCATCATATATTGTATATCACAACATATTTGTATCAGCACTTTGGTACAAATACAATTGTATGTATTCTATATATAATAGAGATTTTCGTACTGAGAATCTTTATATACTTATAGATTTCTACGGGGGTCGATCTGATAAAAGATGATATGTGCCTTGTGGACATATGCACCACGAACTCTATACTCAGGGAAGTAAAATGTTTCAACTTTCGTTAAGAGGAAAGGAGATATTAAAAAAATCGCTAGATGATGACCCACAAGTGTGGGGGATCTATCGTAGTCCTTTCGATAAGTAATAGTGTCAAACTCAATGAGGAGCAGAATAAAATGACATGCGGTTTTCAGGAAGGTATTCTTTGCAAGAATTGAAATTATCGGTAACAGATAGTTGTGTGATAAGATAATTCGTAACGGGTAACAAGTAACAAAAGTAGACAAGGTGCAGCAAGGTGGCCCAATCCTTTTTGTATCAAAGGACAAGCCTGGACAAACTCTTATATAAAGCAAAGCGCTCCCGAGGACACATGGGAATTATTATCAAGCTAGTTTTCATCATGCTCATGTGATTCACGTTCGTTACTTTGATAAATTGACATGTGGGTGGACCGGTGCTTGGGTGTTGTCCTTCCTTGGACAAGCCTCCCACTTATGATTAACCCCTTTCGCAAGCATCCGCAACTATGAAAGAAGAATTAAGGTAAACCTAACCATAGCATGAAACATATGGATCCAAATCAACCCCTTATGAAGCAACGCATAAACTAGGGTTTAAGCTTCTGTCACTCTAGCAACCCATCATCTACTTATTACTTCTCAATGCCTTCCCCTAGGCCCAAACAATGGTGGGGTGTCATGCAGTCGACATTCACATAACACTACTAGAGGAGAGATAACATACATCTCATCAAAATATCGAACGAATACCAAATTCACATGATTACTTATAACAAGACTTCTCCCATGTCCTTAGGAACAAATGTAACTACTTACAAAGCATATTCATATTCATAATCAGAGGAGTATTAGTTATCATGAAGGATCTGAACATATAATCTTCTACCAAATAAACCAACTAGCATCAACTACAAGGAGTAATCAACACTACTAGCAACCCACATGTACCATTCTGAGGTTTTGAGACAAAGATCAGATACAAGAGATGAACTAGGTTTGAGAGGAGATGGTGCTGGTGAAGATGTTGATGGAGATTGACCCCCTCTCGATGATAGGATCGATGGTGATGATGATGGCGGTGATTTCCCCCTCCTGGAGGGATGTTTCCCCGGCAGAACAGCTCCGTCGGAGCCCTAGATTGGTCCTGCCCAGGTTTCGCCTCGAGACGGCGTTGCTTCGTTCTGAAAGCTTCTCTCCTCTGTTTTCCAGGGCAAAAGACACCATATAGCAGAAGATGGGCGTCAGGGGCTTGCCAAGGGGCCCACAAGATAGTGGGGCGCACCCTCCACCCTTGTGGCTGGCTGGTGGCCCCCCTCTGGTGCTTTCTTCGCCCAATATTTTTTCTTTATTCCAAAACTGATCTCCGTGAAGTTTCATGACTTTTGGAGTTGTGCAGGCCTCTAATATTTGATCCTTTTCTAGTCCAGAATTCCAACTGCCGACATTCTCCCTCTTCATGTAAGCCTTATAAAATAAGAGAGAAAATGCATAAGTATTATGATATAACGTGTAATAACAGCCCATAATGCAATAAATAATGATATAAAAGCATGATGCAAAATGGACGTATCACTAGACGCGATGAGGTAATTGTTGACTCAATCGGGTCATATTACTATCCCTATGGGTACCGGAGTGCCATCAAGGATGCTTAATTGTGTCTTGGTTCA